TGATTTTAGTACCAATGAGATTCCAAAGTTAAAAAGGGCATGCAATCTCGTATTACTGCATGTTATGCTTATAATTTCTGTAAACATGAAATCAGTTATTTTATAACAGATGGCAATTTTTTAGTAGTTATATACTTTTGCTCATTATTAGAAGGTCATAGTTTCTTTCATACGAATCATCATTTATATCCTCAAATTAAAGGAAGCTAAAGGTGAATTAACAACATTTATATTTATTTACCTCTTTTCTGATAGTGAATTAATTAAATGATTACCGAAACTATTAAGATGAAAGCATATAAACTGGAAATTCAGCATGCAATACTTCCACAAAAGATGAATTTCACAGATCAGAGGATCGTTGCGAAACGAAAGGATGGTAAATTCCTGAAATTCACCATGATTCACCTCATTTTGACGAATATAATGGTACCTAAATGAAAATCAAAGCAATACAAGATTGCTTCCCCAGGAGAATATGAAGAGAGATACTTCCTGTTCTTATTTTCATCCGTTGTTGTGAAGCCAATTTTGTCAAATTTAGTTGCAGTCCATCCATATAACAGATCAAATCAGTTCATTCTAAATTGTTATAAGCAGTTTGCTTGAGGTGATAAAGGTGACAATCATTTGTCATTTGTCAATTTGTCAATTAAATTCGAGCTGAAATTTGAAGATATATCTGCAATATTCTTATATATACTTCTGAAACTCTCTCCGTCAGTTAATTTTCATCTTTTTTACTGTTATATCTCCGCAGTACCACTAATTTTTGTCCAAATCAAGTTGAATTTCAAGCGAATAACATTTCAACAAGAAAATGAAAGAATTTTTTAAGAAATTTCAATTTTCGCTTAGATTTCAGTCTTCTGATTTATTGGCATTTCTGACGGGAATAATTAAAATTGAAAGGCAAAGGCAAAACTAATCTCATTTATCGCAGAGTTAAGTCAAGCACAGGCGAAAACCAAAGAGAAGGAATTTCACTTGCAAAAAATATGTATTCGACGGAATTTGACTTATTTCTTTCGATTTCTGCAGTAATCAACGATCGATTGCGATTGCAGAGTGTTCGACAAAAGAAATTATGAACTGATTTGCATTGATAATTTTTAATTAAATGTATTTCAATTTTCTTCCCTAAATTTGTGTTAAAGTTTAAAAAACAAAATGATAATTTGATAAATTTTGGTACTTTTCAAGTTTGAGGTTCTGAAGTTTTATCAGCTGAATTGCAATATAGGAGATCCACATAAATCAAAGCATTATCAGCAGAATTAAAAGGTTTCATCAACCGGAAAAACATATTTCTAGCTGTCGTTATCTGGGTTATAATTCCATCCTTTGCCTGGCCATTTAGAATTAGAGTGGATCCAAGGTATTTAAAGTCAAGCACTTCCTCAACCTGGTAATGAATTGATAAATATAAATATTTTATTTTATCAGCACCTTGATAAGACGAAAACTCTTTCGTTTTATTTATTTATTTATTGATTCTGAGTTCAATTCCCGCAGCGGTTGTTAATACATTGTTTAACATTTGCATTTCATTATAACTGCCAGCAAAAAAAAGAATAGGAATAGGAATGAGGAAGAATACTTGAATAGCTCATCGTATTTTCTACTGAATGTATTATCAGTGTCGTTTTAAATTATCATAATTGCCAAATAGGTCATATTTTTTTGGTTTATTGCTAGTAGGTTTGATAATTTTCATATAATCTAAAATTAATAAAGCAAGATAAAGGTTTTCTTTTTATTTAACCATTCATTTTCGCTTATAATTGGGTGCCTTAAACTGCAAGAAATATTCATGCAAATGCAAAATCAATTAAGAATGGAACGATTTTGCTAATTTTTAAGAATTTGGCTGATAACACTGGTATGACCATTGAATGTTTCAAAATATTACAGTTCAGCTGAAAAACTTAGCTTAAAATCTTTTCGTTCTACTGGTTCATTCATGTTTCTTGAATAAAGCATCATTCATTCAGGCGAAGAAAAGCCTTGTTACGAACACTTTCTTAAAAAACTTTAAAAAGTAAAATTATCATATCGATTATCAAATACGAGTAGCATTTCAATGAGTCCAAAGGGAGATAGAATTCAATAGGGCGAATTTGACTAACTATGGTTTATTGGCGAAGTTATTGGTGACGCACACATATCCTATGGTTTCGCTTTGGAAGTAATATGGAAGTAAGGCGCTATGTGAGCTCTAACGATTCCACGTAAACGTTTTAACTCTTTCTCGATTTATTTAGACCTTTTTGGTTCACACTTCAATTTCTTTAGCACCTACTTGGGGCTCTTTTAAAATCCTTATAAGAAAAAAAAGTTTTCGCTTATCATTCCATATCTGAAAATCTTATGTAAAAGCCAGCATTATATAAACAAGAAACAGAAAATCCACACATCTTATTATCAGTAACGTCGAGTTATTTGAGATCGGATGATTTAAGGGACGGGGAAAATGTAATGAATAATATGGAGCACTTGGCGTCACCTCAGTTCCACTAATGGTTTGTTGAGATTTGAACCGAACTATTTAGAGGTGTCCATCCTTCATCCCATATTTATTATGCACTATTCATTTTGACTCTGGTCGGTTAATTAATACGCATCATTGTTATATATTATTTATTATTATTTATATTATCATTATTGTTATTATTATTTATTATTATTATTGTTATTATCATTTATCATTATTGTTATTATTTATTATTATTATCATTGTTGTTATTATTGTTATTATTATTGCTGTCACTATTAGTGTTATTATTATTTATTATTATTTTATTATTGTTATAAATATTATTTTCTTTTGTGATGTTTAATAAATATTCAAAATTGTTACATTAACATAAATCATTAGGTTCCAACGATTCTGAAATATATTCAAAGGCCATTTATATGACGTTTTCATAGAAATAAAATGCTTAGCGATCAAAATTTACAGCAAATTCCAAATTTTTGCTTTACATTCTACTAATATGTTAGTGATAATGATAATAATGATAATATAACACTAAATAGAAATATTGAGCTGTTATTTATTGTTGTATAATTTGAATTATCAAGTTGTATTTTGCAGCTTCGGCTCGTTGTAATCGGGAAATATTTCTGAAAGATTTCTATTCTTTTAGCGATTGTTTTGATGGTTATCTTATCACTGATTAGGTGAGTTCTTACGATTTTATCAGATTTCAATGATTTTTTATCATTTTAGAAAATAAGAAATAATAAATGGAAAGGAAACAAAAACTTTATGGGCGACGTCTTATCATTCGAATTCGAAATGTTCGTTTTTTTTTCTTTTTACTTCTTTTTATTTGCCATAAATATTTTATTTGCATTAGTTTTTAATATTTATTTAAATATATTTTTTGATTAACTAAAGCATTGTTTTGGATTTATAATTTTAATACTTTGATTTTATTATTCTAATTTTTGTTTACTTAAAAATAGTAATAATAATAATAATGATAATGATAGAGATACTAGCAGTAATAAATGATTGCTTAACATTAAATAACAACTAATAGATTATAACAAATAAAATTTATAGCATTATAACAAGTAATTGATGGAATAGTTTTAAAATTTAAAAAAAATGATACAAATTTTTTAATATTGGATTCAGATGAGATGATTTTATGGAAATTATTTGTTATAAAATTTTCAGAATCATTAGTATAGCCATGTAATACAATTAAACAGAAAAATATGAAAATTCAGATTTGCGTAAATTTTATAAATTTGCATTTTTATAAATTTTTATTTACCAAATGTATAGGCATATCAAATATTTCTTTAAAAAAATTTAAAAAAAACAATAAATAAAACCCAAATTATCGGTGAATAGCAATGACTTTTTTCCATCATTTTTCTTATTTAATTTTCATATTTTTTATGATTCTTTTAGTCAGATTTTTAATGAATATTCAATTTATATTGGATTTATAATTTTTTGAAAAAATTTTTATTTTTCAGCTCATTTTGGAAGAAAAGTGTGCAGCTGATGTCAAACTTATTGCTCAACTTTTACGAGAACGTTTTCCGTGAGTTTCTATTCTTATTAATTTCTCATATTCTTTTCTCATATCATATTAATTTCATATTCTTTTTCGTTGATGTTCTATTTTTTTTTTAGGGAATATCGTCATTGTCAATCATTTTCTAATGATGTTATTGAAGCGTTAACCGAAGTTCTTGAAAAAAATTTAAATTTAAATGATGAAATTGTTGATGTGCATGAAGAGAGTGCAAAAAGCAATGAAAATCGCAAAAGAAAATTGAAGTTTGTTTTATCATCCTTTTTTGTTTCCTTATTTTTATTTCCAACGTTAGGAGTTTAAATCTCAGATTTGAAATCCTTCCATTTAAAAGGTCATAAAGAAATCATAAGTTCTTTAAAAAATCGTAATATTTGCGACTCATCCGAACATCTATCACTAGATGACTCCGATTTCTAAAAAATGAGCCTAATCAGAGATTATGAGCTTATTATGAGCTTATTTTATTTTCTTATTTGTAATCTTATTTTACCCATTTTCAGTGCTGTGGGAAGTTTCGCCAATCCAGTAGTTCTTAAGAATGATGAAATAAGTCTCGGAAAACATGGTGAATACAAAACTAAAGTGTGTTAGAATTTTTTTATTTTTTTCTTTATTTTTTCTTTTTTTGCGAAATATTTTTTTGAAATTTATATATATATATATGAAAATTTTGATTTTAATTTGACAGATTTCTGAAAATGATTATTCTTCAGACTCCTGATTTGCCGAATCGCTTTCTGAGGGATATGTATAAAAATCATGGTCAACGGATACATACGGATAGGATTAATGGATTGCCGAAGGTTCAGTAATGTTTTACAATATATTTACTGAATTTTGTGTTTCATTCTTCTTGCCTTTTCCTTTCCTATAAATTCAAATGTGAATATGAAATTTTTCTATATTATCATTCTTTCGTTGTAATATTTCGAGAAAATTTTAACAACAATATCAGTTTCAATGCATAAAATTTCAAGGTTTCAGGTAAAGCCCAAAATGCATGCTTCTTTTCCTACATCTTCTGTTGAATCTTCGACATTCGAACCAAAAAGGTCTTTTGTCACTTTTGACGATATTGGTGGTTGCGAATCGCAGTTTATGGTATTCGAAATTATTTTATTTTATATTAAATTATTCATTTGTTATCAACCGATGCGTAATAATATATGTATATATATATATATATATATTTATATATTTATATAACACTAAAATTTTACAGTTCATTTCCAGGAAGTATGTCAACTGCTAATACACTTAAAACGTCCCCAAATATATGAGACTCTCGGTGTTTCGCCACCTGTGGGTCTTTTAATACATGGTCCTCCTGGTTGTGGCAAGACCTTGTTTGGTCGGGCTGTTGCTGGTGTAAGTTTTTTAAATATTTAAATGACGGAGAACAAGTGATGGATATAATATTTTTATTCTTTATTCTGCGTTTTTTTAGTTTATTATTTGTTCTCTAATTAGAGCATATAGTTTATGTAGGAATTCGATTTGCCGCTGATTGAAGTTACATCTACTGAATTAATTGGTGGAGTCTCTGGTGAATCTGAAGATAAAATCCGAACTTTATTCAGTAAAGCCTATGATGCTTCTCCTTGCATATTAATGATCGACGAAATCGATGCTATTACGCCAAGACGCGAATATACTTCAAGGGAAATGGAACGTCGAATCGTTTCTCAGTTGCTGGCGTGCCTTGACTGTGAATTTTTTATTAAAGATCCTTCATAAAATTTTGTTTTTTAAAAAAATAGAAAAAATATATGTCGTTTGTTCTAATTATTATAACTAATAGAATATTTTTCGTTAAGTTTTGTCGCAATCAAATACCTCAGAAGTTGAAGCTAAGAATGTGGAACGAGAATCTCGATCAGTGATTAAACAGGTTCTTGTGATCGGTTTGTTTTTTTTGTTTACATTCTATTGCATGTTCTTTTATATGACACTAATAATTTATTCATGAGTTCTATTTCAAATCTGAGTAAGCTTCATATTTATAATAATGATTATATTTCGTTAAAGGCATTACTAGCCGATTGGATAGCATTGATCCTGCCTTACGGCGAGCAAAACGTTTCGATAAAGAAGTTGCTTTGGGTATACCGGATGAAGAGGCTCGAAAAAGTATTTTAGAGATTGTGAGCAGGTATTCATTGGCTTTATTTCAAGAGTTTTTATTAGCTGCTTATTCCATTAACAGTTTTTTTCTATTTACTTTATCCAATATTACTCCCATATATTTTATTCAGAATTTAAGAAATCTTCGATTGGGCAAAGATGTGAATTTTGAAAGAATTGCCCGTTTAACACCTGGTTATGTTGGAGCCGATTTAAATGCCCTCGCCCGAGAAGCTTCACTTTCTGCAATTTATCGGTGAGTTTCTTTTAATTTTATATATATGTTTATTGCTATATAAATATTTTATATATATATATTTCGAAAATGGACATAAAAGAAAGTTTTACTAAAAACTAATAATTTACGAAACTAATAATTTCGCAAACTTGTAAGGTAAAGCTTATTGCTAAAGCTGATTGTTAAATTTTAGGATATTTGGTGAAACCATAAGTTCCAGTCCCGGTTTGAAATATTTATCGCTTCAGGAAAGAAAAGAAGAACTTCGCAACAGTTAGTTTTATATATATATATATAGTTTAGCATATATTCTAGGAGATTACTTTCAGCCTTCGAAATACAGTTAAAATAACAAACAATATATTTTTAAATTGTGTCATAAATTACATTACTTTTATTTATTTACTTCTATTTAAGGGACAGTGTGGCTAAAATCGAAAGATTCATTTGATTATATTGATATCTCAAATCTTCAAGTAACTAATTATGATTTTGAAAATGCTCTAACTTCTGTTCAACCATCAGCGTTAAGAGAGGGATTTTCAATGGTCACTGACGTGAAATGGGATGATATTGGTGCATTATGTGATGTGCGAAATGAATTGCAATGGAGCATTTTGGTTCGTAAAAATTCAAAAATTTTTTTAATGGGGTTAATGCTATAATAATGAAGATTGGTATTTAAACCAAATGTGTATAGAGCTATTGTTGTGCATCTTTATTACTTTAGTACTTTTTTTTAGCACCCTATAAAACATCCAGAAGATTTCAATTTACTTGCGATTGAAAGTAAGCCTCAAGGAATCTTATTATGTGGTCCACCTGGTTGTGGCAAAACCTTACTAGCAAAAGCAGTTGCTAACGAAACTGGGATGAATTTTATCAGTATCAAAGGACCTGAACTGTTGTGTATGGTAAAGATTTTATATTTTTACCTAAGTTAGCACTTTTTGTCCATTTTTTATCGCATTTTTTATAGCATATCCTTCGATTCTTTCTTATCCACATTATATTTTATATTTATTTTTTTTTATCTGAATTTCTGGTTTATCACATAAATATTCAGAAATTTTTTAAAATATTTTCGAAGCTATTTCCTTGTTTATTTCGAAAATATTGCAGTATGTTGGTGAGAGTGAGAGAGCTGTCCGAACTGTATTTCAAAGAGCCCGCGATTCTTCGCCTTGTGTAATTTTCTTCGATGAAATTGATGCCCTTTGTCCAAAACGATCAAAAATTGAAGTAAATTATTTGTTCTGTTAAATGTTTGAGTTAGCCATTGTCAATTAAGATTTGTTCCATAAACTTCAGATGGTAAACCTAAAGCGATTTTGGTTTGTGAGAAGTCGGCGGAAAAAAATGTCAAAATTTATAAGTAGGGCATAAAAATTTTAGACGTCTGGAAGCGCTCGTTTAGTGAATCAACTGTTGACTGAAATGGATGGCATGAGCAATCGAAAACAGATTTTTATTATAGGAGCTACAAATCGACCAGGTTTTCCCTTAACAATTTCATTTGTTTTATTCAAGCTAAATATTCTATTGTTATACAGTAGTTTCTTACAGTATTTTCGTAGATATCGTGGACCCTGCTGTTCTTCGTCCTGGTCGCCTTGACAAGGTTATATTCGTCGATTTTCCTACCAGTGATGATCGCGTTGATATTCTGCTTAAACAGACCAAAAATGGTACACGCCCACGGATTGCTGATGACGTATCTCTGGTAGAAATCGCTAAAAACCCATTAATGGAGTGGTTTACGTAAGATACCTAATTTAAAGTGCTAACATATTCCTCTTCACCTGTATACTCTAAAGTGCAGAACAAAATCTCACATGGTGAATTTCAGAGGTGCAGACATTGCTGCTTTAATTCACGAAGCAAGCATTATCGCGTTACAAGAAAGGATGTTGAACAAGAAAACCGATGCATTAACCATGAAACATTTTTTAATAGCAATGAAATCAATCAGACCATCGGTGTCTGAGTCAGATCGTGAGCATTACAAAAAAATTAAAGCAAGATATGGCAAACGAGTGTCGAAACAGGAATAATTAATGATTGAATTAAATTTATGGTTTTTGTCCTTAATAATTGTTTCCAACATTTTTTATGCTCACTTATTTCTTTTAACGTTCATTCAGACTGTTTTTCAACATGTATATATCTATTTTAATTATAATATCTATAATGTAGATGTACAAATAGAAAAACAAATAGTGAAATTGAAAGATTGTGAAATCGGCTCCAACAAGTCTACCTTGAACTGTGGCAAAAATGAGTTTCGAAACAATAGAAAAAATTGGAAAGTTTCTGCTTTGATTTGAAGAAGAAAATTAAGTGATGTCTAGTGAATAAAATCAAAGTTATTTTCGAATTTCAGGATCACAAAAGTATCTTCCAGAAAGTACTTTTCTTCGCAACATCGATAAATGATAAAAAGCGTTGTCATCGAGTATAAGGCTAAGACCGGACAGAGATGCGTCAGAGGCCTAAAAATTAATAATATTTCACTCGAATAAATAGGATATAGATATAACATTCGATACTCACTTGAAACTGTACAAATGATTGAGTAGCATGCGATGGACCATTCGAAAGGGACAATCTAGCCTTTAAAGAACCAGCACGGTCGCCATGACGTGATAATTCAGTTAATTTCCAAACAAGAGTCTGCGCAGATTCTGACCTAGACATGTGGATAAATTATAGGAGAAGATTTTAAGATGATTTTAAATCTATCTCTACAATAAACTCAACTAAGAGCGAGCAGAATGGATTCGATTGCTTGTCTATAAAAATAAAAATGAATTTATTGCAAAATAAATCGCACCATTCAGCAAGTGGATCGGAAATAATGTTTGATACGACCCCATCAACTTTTGTGCTGAATACAATATTCAATAGTGGGTTTTTTATGCTACACATTTCATTTATGCAATAATCGATTCTAAGATCCGTGTTCTCCTCTTCAGTTTTCCAGTACGCATTCATTATTAATGGCGCTTCGTTCATATCTTCTAATTCATAACGAAGCACCTAAAAAGGCTCTCAGCTTAGAATAATTAATAGTCAGTAATGATTAATGATAGGCAATATCGACTTACATCAAGGAGCGAGGAATTGGATTCATGCAATTAAAAACTTTTTGTCCAGTTTTTACTTCTTTTTTAAATAATTTTTCAATTCAGGAAGCTGAATAAAAAAATTGTTTAAATATAAACAAAATGAATATTTACACAACTGAATATGATTGAAAATATTTGATCGAGAAATAATCAGTTTACCTCTGTATTGAAGAAAAGTGTGTCGGCTTTTTCAGCACATTTCTTTTTTAGCCAAGTAGCCACTAAAGACCTATCAATAGTGTAACAATTAAGTTGTTCATCACAATTTTCGATATCCAATATCTGAAGACTATCTTATTAATTAAAATTATTTCAGTCCTTAATTTAAATAAAAATTTGGAAGAGATTCAGATTAAAAAATAAGTAAGTGAAGCACATGAAAATCAAAAATAGTAAAAAATCTATGTAATTCGTTTGAATAATGAGTTTTCCTATAAATAGTTTCTTATTCTTTAACATATATCTTTTTTACATATTGGATGAGTAGAGAATATTTACATATTTATTTACAAGAATATTTACATAAAAGATAATTTAAAATTAAATGCTAACCTGCTTATTAGGAAGCACCTTTTTAATTTTATTAAAATTCAATAAAGAAAATTTTAGCGGCTTGAGATCACGTTCAGTGTCGGTTAATAGAGACACTACTGTTGATGGGAAAGAAATAAGTACACTACCAAATATACGTATTAAAGTCCTTAAATGTTATATTATAGAGCGGTAAATATCAATAAAAATCAAAAATACTAAAAAATATTATAATATTAAAAAATAATACAAAAATTCAATTAGTTAAATATCTATAAGTTATAAAAGCCATATACTCTGAAGAACTGGATCCTTTGAACCAAGCGTGAATATATTCATTTATAGCCATGGCAATTGGTATATGCTGTTCATTTATGGTGGATGATAATGGTATAAGATTGGGTATTGACATACTCAATGAAAATTCATTATTGGCTGATAATGAAGAGACCGATTCAGCGTTTTCACTGGAAGCGGAGTCCTGATAAACAAATAAAATATGAGAAAGTACTATAAAAATATCTTTATTTAGCTGTCAGCTACTCCCGCTTTTCTTTGGTGTTTCAAATTTCACATCGAAATTGGAAAGCATAACTGCTAGTCTTTCGGAGTTATCATTTGAAGATATAACTATTAATAGTAAAATTATTTGTGATAATGCACAATCTTCAATTTCAACTTCTTAACCATAATTTTTTTCGCTTAATATATTTCTTACATTAAAATTTAATATTGTTCCTTATTTCTACATGGTTTTTTTTAAGATATTAAACTGTTTTTCTCATTATTTATTATCTTTTTTTTGCAAATTCGAATTCATAATGATAACGTAAAGTTGCTCGAGAAAAAGCTTTACTGTAATAGAAATCAAAGGACATAATAAGCTTACTTTTCTAGCTGCATCTAGAATTGTAGTAGGTATATTTATATGCGAGGAATAGTAGGAAGTTGCTGGAGTTGGAGTGATACTTCGGGGTCTTGCTCGAGCAATGCTCCCACCAGTCATTGACAACGAAAATGGCAATGGAATATTACTACTTGAATCTAAAGCACTTTTAGAACTTTTCAATAATCATTTGAAATCATTTTAAAAAAAATTTTATTGGACAATCAGTTAGAAATATTTTATTCCTCAGTAAATTTTTCTAAAGAATCACGCAATGATATATTTCTGGATTGATTAAAAAAAGCAGAATATTACTAAACCATCTGTAATATTCATTAAATAATATTCAATAACAAATGTATTTCAGTATTTAAATATTTCTATTATTTCACAAAAATCAATTAAATACCATGGTAGGAGATAAGAACCAAAAATAAGGTGAGGTGATTGATAAAAGAGAATGACCCATATCACTATACATAGAAGATAAGAAAGGTTTTTTTTTTAAATATTTGTACATATTTCCGTTATTTATTAAAATCCTAAAGAAAATTACCTATGACTGATTTAAAATGAAAATTATACCACATTTTCTCCTCAAATGCTCGTCACCAGTAAATGCAGTTCTTAGTGGAGGTACATTGGTTCCTAAACTAGCACTGAATGGTAATCGACTCGTAGCAGACCACGGATCCTCGAAAGCAAAAAAATGTTTAAAATCTTAATAAATAAAATCTTAAAGAAAAAATTAAAAATTGCCTATAAGATAATGAAATTCACTGTATCAAATGTCGAACTCCTCGTTAAAGAATTAGCGAAATTCATACGCCCTACGGCATCACGTAATTCATCCACAGATACATTAATCGATTCGCCAATAGGTTTTATATTAAGTTGGCGCAATTTTGAAGCATGAAATGCACCTTCATCTTCATCTATAATTTAATAAATTTGAAATCATAGAATATAAAAAACAACATTAAAAAAATAAAAAACAATACCACTTAACTTTTTATAATTAATCGCAAATCCAATTTTTATAAATGCATGTATGTCAAACAAAATTATAATTTTTAAACGAGATTATTTCTCCAATGAATTACTGAATTTATAATCTTTTTTGGTATATAATAATATATATAATATAATAAAATAATGAAGGCTTTGAGAATGACTTATGGAATGATTGCAAAAATCCAACAATAAGAAAAATATACCAGACGAATCAGTACAACTACTCCAATGTGATATCGCATCTGCATTAGACTGATTCTTATGAACGGTGTTTTGATCTTGATTTTCTGGCCTAACATTTTCCTTTAAAAGTGATGGAGGCGCTGCTGCTGATTCCGATGTATTTGCGCCATTAGAATTCATAAACTACAACTTTTCACTTAGTGAAAGAAATAAATCTTTAATGCAAAATTTTAAAAATTTTGGGAATTTTGAAAAACGAACCATCTTTTCATCACTTCGATTGCTGCTCGCAGTACTTTTCGAATCATCTGCGCTAAAAGCATAAAACGAATAAATAAATGATAAAGTAATAAATGATTATTTATAAATAAATGATAATAAGTAATAAATAATAATTACACCAATAATCTAAAATTTGAAAATTTTTCCATAATCATTTCGCACTGCTGCTTAAACTCTTTTTATTTTCTCAAAATTGCTTGAAAAGAAATTTGAACGAGTCATAAAAGTGAATCACAATTATATAAATAATTTTTTACTTGTTGTGATTTGAATTAGAATCCACATTCTCTGAAATTAAATCAGAAGTAGACTTCTTCGCACGATTTCGGTATTTTCTTAAAAACCCTGCAAAAGATTATTCATACAACAAAAAAGACTATTTGAAATTCGGTTGGCTTAATGAGTTACCAGCAGTTTCAGAAGAATGATTGTATGCCAGATCATTTTGCGGTTGTTCAACCATCTGCAAATTAGTCTGTGATGCATATTTTCTCCGTTTTCCAGGCAACCAAAGAGAGAGTTTTTGTCTACTCAACGATGATGAAAATGGAAATGGCACAGCAGGAGTGGCAGCCGTTGGCGTTGAATCACTTTCATTGGGTACGCATTTCTTAATGCAAGAAATAAAAATCATAAAAACATTGATTTTCTTCTAACAGCATTAATTATTTCTGGTTATTAGGTTTAGAGGCCTTCGCCAGTCATTTGAAAAAAGTACGGGTAGCGCCAGCCATTTTTTTCGCTTTTAATGACAGGTTTATTCCTATAAAGGGACAAGAACTCAAGAGGTTCGGTCCCGGTTGAAGCAGTGACACTCGACCATCTAGCTTACCCATATTTCAAATTTATAAATTTCTCCCAAAGAGTGGACTTTGAAAAAAATGTTTATATCGATATTTTACATGAACATATGATAATAACAGAATTATAACAATGATAATAAAATGTTTGTAAAATTACTTGTATTTGCGATGGACAACCATCCGACCATACATCAGGATTATTTGCTTTATAGTCTAATAAATCAGGTGCAACTTGTTCAGCAGGTAATTCTGAAGAACTAGCACACTGAACTATAGCAGATGAATTTGATGATGACGGATTCGAAATATTGCCCGCGATTGAACTCGCTCCATCAATTTCTTCAAAGACAACCATTTCTAAAATTATACCTTTAAAACGAAAATACAAATATTTCCCTAATTACTATTTTAACAGTTAATAGTGAATGAATTTTCTAAAAATTTGGAATTTTTTAATGCTCAGTTACAGCCGATTGCTGATAATTTTGCAAAAAACATGAGTAACATGAAAAAGAGCCAAAGTTTGCTCAAAATATCCCTTTTTGTTGCAGGAAACATGCAAAAAAATGAAAGGAAGAAAATTTGCTCGACAAACCTGGTGGGTCTTTGCCAGTTCCTTTCGCTTCAACAAATTTTAACATCATTTCAGATATATCAATTTGCTCAATCGCATCACGATATTGTGCGCACACCTACAACACGACAAAAACATTAAAATAATGGCTCTACGAACTAATATTTTTCTACAGTTACAATCTTACAAACTAAATGGTACCTAAGATGCTCAGCATTTTATTTACTAAATAAATGGCTCATTAAAACTCTACAAATTAATTAATTCAACAAGCTTGAGTTTCCTAAAGTTGCACGAAATCTTCTCCTAAGGGATATACAATTAGATAAAAAATATTTTCTTTTTCGCTTGATAATAATTGATTTAAAATTAAAACACCAAGAACAAACAATTTACATGTGACGAAGCTGTTGTAGCATCGTCTGCTGCCCGAGCAAATGATAAAACGAAATTTTTTATCTGCTGAAAATAAGCTTCATCATGCAATTGAAAAGCGCGAGTCGCCTTAATCATTTTTTCTTCGAATTCCTCACGAACAATTCCATATTTTTCTACGTAGCTTCGATATTCATCACGAGATCTCAGAAGTTTAGTTTCAGCCTATAAATACAATGTTTAAATCAAATCAAATAAGAAAAGAAAAAAAATTAAGGATTTTTAATAGCCTGAAATTATATAAATGATGGAACATTAGGAAAATATGAAAAAAATTCTTGAAAATGACGAAAAAGTTTTACACATTACATCTAAAATTCATCAAAAGATACCAAACCTTTGCTAACTCTTTTGAATTCACTCCCTCCTTTTTCAATTTTTCGAGTTCATTCCATCGTTGTATGTAAGTTTCTTTTGCCTAAAGAACAAAATTTCAAATAAGGATGTCAAAAACAATTCATTTAAATCCATACCTACAATAAATTAACGTAAAGTTCTTAAAACCTTCTGTAAACAAGTTGTTGTTGTTTGCATAAGATTAACGGCATCCAGTACATCACGCTCTTTAGCCTTTTTGCGAAATCGCACTAAGTCATCATGATAATGCATCACCTACAGGAAAAATACATGAAAAATACATCCTTAAAAATTACGAAAGAAAATCTCATACTTATCTGATAGAAACTAAGACGCTAAAAGCCTTTAAAATAACCTACAAGTATAAGTACGTGAAATGAAAAATTGCTAACATCTTTAAGCAATTGTTGTAGCAACGCTAAAAACGATGAGTGTATCTCAGCAAGCAGGTTCAATGTGTTTTTTGTAATTTGCCATGAATTTGAGAAAACATTTTCACCGGAACACAGCAGACCACACTAAAATTTAAGAAATTAGTAAATATACAGAAATCAAATATACTGAAAACTAAAATAAAATTCAGCATAACAGAAAAAAAAATTATCGCTTACTTTACAGATACTTTTTGCAAAATATTTACTGTTTTCCTCTTCCAGGCTAGCACGATCCTTAAAAAATTGAGCTAATTCTTGCACATACTCTTCTTCTTGCTTTAAATTTTCGTAAAGCACATGAAATCCATGATGTTTTTCACCCTGAAAACATCATTTCGTTAATAAAGAATAAAATTTTGCATGTAAAACAGTTATTACCAGAGAAAATGAGCGAATTTAAATATCTATTTATTATTTATATTTATTTTATTTATAAATATTCATTTATTCGACTTGACCATCAACTTGAACGTCATCAAACTTACATATATGCGAATAAATATAAAAGATATTTATTCATTAAATATGAATATTTATATAGCGATAGTGTTAAAAATATTTCTAATAAATTATAAAGTCATAAAAACAATAAGAAAATAATACTGAAGTATCAGGAAACTTCATGACATTAAACATTATCAAATTATGTGTCCTACAAAAGTAAAAAAAACCAAAACAAAATATATTTTAAAAAAATCAAATAAAGTAATTGCAATAATAAATATAACAACTAATGCAGAATAATAAACATTTAAATACAAATATATCAAATATCTTTAAAATAAAATATCTCTTAAAAAAAAAGAAAAATAAATTGCAATATGTCGAAAATTTGACGCAAAAAATCATATATTTGACGTTTAACGGAAATTTTTTCAAGTTTAATTTTTAAATTTTCAAAAAATAAAATAATATATGGAATGTTATAAAAATTCCGAAAAAAAGTTAAAATGAATAATATTGAAAAAATATTTATTCTTCATGAAAAAAATGCAAAAAAACAAACCCAAAAATTTTCTGAATAGTCGACAATAGTCATTGAAAATAATAACTTTTTTTAATAATATATTTAAAATATATATTTTTTGTAGCGACTTTATAAACACGTTGAGCACTTCATTTGATGATTTAATGAAAATAATTATCTGAAAAAAAGATTTCTTAAATTACAATTAAATTATTTATTACCCAAATGCTTCATAAAAACGAAAAACAAAACAAAGAGTAAACAATAGTAATTGCAATAATAGAAATAATAATAAATTTCCAAAAAAAAATGTTTTTTATGAAAAATTTAAAAGTTCGAAAATTATTTCTGAAATTTATGAAAAAAAAGAGAAAGAGAATGGGTTTTATTCATTTGCTGATAACGTCTTTTGCTTGTTGATAACCCCATTTTACTCCCTTGCAATCTCGTTTATCTTCCGATTGCTCTCATCAATTGCTCATTAATTTTCTTAAATAACTAAAAAATTTTATCTGACTGACAATTCACTTACTAATGAAATGAAAAAAATAGGAAAATCATCGAAAGCCATTCTCTGACTGTCGAACTTAAAATAAAAAATTAAAATTTTTGAAAATTTATAAATTTCGAAAAAAGACTGCTTCGAAATGAAAAATGCGGAAAATGGCTGGCAAAAAGAAATAACCGCCACAAACCTGCAACCCTGGCTTCACCTCACCTAAATTCACCAACCAAGGGAGAGAACTTTCTACGAGCGCACCAAAAAAAAGACTAATCGGTCCGCAAATATGCGGCCTGGTCCGAGACCCTTTTGCGGCCCATGGTTTTTTTTGTATGTGCATTTTTTATCACCATTCTCCGAACTTTTTAACAATAGAAATAACACTCATCTTCGGGGCATTTCTGTGAAATGAGAATTGCTCAGAGATAATATAAGCAATTATTACTAATCTACCAAAAAAACTCTTAAAAATATTTATGAAAAATATAAAATCACAAAAATTGAAAAAAAAACCTTTTACCATTGTATATATGAAAATTTTTCGCATAAAAATTTCCGTTTATTACGATTAAATAATTAATGCGGAATTTAAGGAAAAAATGAAACATCAAATAAATAAATGAATATTTATTAAAATAAAATTATTCCATTATCACTTTTGGTTCGAAAATGGCTCTACGGAAAAACCCGTACGATAGGGGAACAGATTGCCGATACGTAAAAATAAGCATTCTTCTTCTAACAGCTCTCACAATTACTGGTTGGATTTGCTCCGCCGGCTACAAGAGTAAGTCGTCTTCAAGCTGTTCAATCCATCGGTGAGAGTAGGCCATTGCTTTTTCCATCGTTTAAGTCTCCTCCATATATCGCTGGTCTATATGTTGGAAATCTTTCCTGCTTATCAGTTCAGGTCTTAATTGGACCATCTTGCTTTTGACAACATCCATCAAAGGTATTTAGCAAATAATGAAATATATGTCAACTTCTGTGGTCCGTGACGAAAAATATGGTCTAGTCAGCGAAGACGGCGCTCTGTGATGGTACTCAAGTGGTGTTTAAATGAACGTGGATGCAATCATTCAAGGTTTCATCTGCTCAGCGAATCCATAAAATCTGTCGTAGAATGAATGATCAGGACGCATAGATCGAACAAGATCGAGCGAATTACATATAGGATCATCGAATTCCTATATGGACTATTGAAAATAATAAATGAACAAAAAGCAAATATTTATCACATTAATATATAAAATAATATTTTCATAATTGCGTTTTATTTGTTATTTTTTCTTATTATCACAACTTTAAAAGTGTTTAACTTTATTATTTTTAACTTTATTGTTTAAGAAAATATTTAAAAATTTTTCAGTTCAAAAAAGGAAAATATTTAGTTTGTTTTTTAATTTTAAAAAAATTAAAATTAAAAAATTCTTATATTCTTACATTGCCAATTTTTTAAAATATTTATTTCGATTAATGTTTTAAAAAAAATATTTTAAAATATTTTGAAATATTTTATTAATTTAGAAAAAAAAAAGAGAAATGAAAGAAAATTAAATAAAACGCAAAAGAACGAGTGAGTTGTTGGTGCTGTCGTAAATTTTTTTTAACAGTTCTTATCTGATTAAGCGCTCTCCGCTGGCTTGGTGAATTTTGCCAATTTTGTCACCTTGTAATAAAAATAGAGACGAATCGTCTCGTTTAGATTTTTGGAAGGGAATTTTACTGCTGTCGAGAGTAGAATCTCATCATTAGCGCTCCAAAATGAGAGGAACAAGTGGAAGTTAATGAGCCATTCGACTCCCCGATTGTTATAAAGAAGTGGCTGTTATAAGTTGCTGTTTAAATATGCTGTTTTTTATTTAGTGTTAAATATGATTATAATAAGAATAAAACTATTTTTATTAATTATCCACGTTTATCACTAATCTAAGTGTTAAAATCAAAATTTCACTAATCGCATCTCTTTTATTCAGATGGCATTTATCACTTCTGCTTTGAATAATTCCACAGTTTATAAAAGTGAGAATATTCATTTGGAGATTGTGAGAATCCAATTCCATTCTAAGGATAAAAAACTTGATTCGCAAAGATTTAACCAAAATATTTATTAAATTCAATTAATATTCAATTAATATCAATAAATATTAAATTCAATTCGATGAAAAATAAATATAGAAAGCACAAAATATGCTAAAAAAAGAAAAAAGAGAAAAAACTGGAAATTTTTTAAACTAAAATTTTAGGCATTCACTTTTATATTAATCACTGGCATTGCTTTTGAAAAAAAAGATTCGATAATGTTTATTTATGATATTATATAAAAATATTTTTAATAAATAAAATTAAAAAAAAGATAATAATAATAAAATAAAAAATTTAAAATATTTTTTTATTTAAATTGTCTGATTATAGTTCACATTATGCATTTTGAAATCCTAATTTTTACCATTCGATTTTACCATTCATATGCTATTTTGTATAACTCCTCTTTATTTCCTCTTTACATTGTTAGTTTTATCATATCATTAATTTTCATTATTCGTTATTTTATCAGTTATTATTTATACAAGCATATGGAGCTTGATTGGTTGGTTTTCAACAAATAAATAAATTCTATCGAGCTATATGAACTGTTCTAAGTTTTTATATATATCTAAAATGTCTAAGACATATTTTATTTATACAAATATAATCAATTTTTCAAATCAATTTAATCAAATCTTTTATGACAATTTATGAAATATCATATTTTTTTCATCTTAACATGACAATAAACGAGCCATTCTCTCTCATTCATTCGGAAATCTTTTTCGATTCAGACAATTTAAATAAAAAATATTTTAAATTTTATTATTTTATAATTTTTATTATTTTATTATGTCAATAAACGAGCCATTCGTCTCATTTATTCGGAAATCTTTTTCAATTCAGACAATTTAAAAAAAATTTTAAATTTTATAATTTTTTGAAAAAAGAACGATAAAATTTTAAAAAATCGCCATTCTCCTTTTAAAAGCTAATTCCCGTCGCTAATTTTCATTTGCCATTGACTAAATTCAAATACACTGAATGTAATCATCGATTAAGGATAAATTTAAATAAATAAATCCAGTAAATTCTTATTGCGTTATTATGGAAAAAAATTTTTAAAATTTAAAATTTTACCTATTCAAAATATTTTTTAAAAACCTATTATATCAAATAATAATTAATTTCATTTTTTTTTTATCTTTTATTGAATAAAACAATAAACGAAATTAAATTTTTTTATAATTTAATAAAAATAAAAAATAATAAAAATTAATTAATGAAAAATAAGGCGAATTAAAATTAAAAGAAATGAAATGAGAAAGAAAAACGGCCGATGCAATCGTTAAAATGAATAAAGAGGTAGTTTTCCATGATATAATCAGCTCGTCGATGCCCTTTCATGAACCATTTCAACTGACATTTATAAGATTTTTGATCTATGAGCAAAACTGATTGATATGTGCACAATAATTCCTTGATTTATAAATAATAAATTTGATCGATTCATTTATTTATTTGATTAACCAGTTCAAAAGTGTAAACTAAGAGCAATTCATACGATAAAATATTGAAAATAAGTCAAAAAATTTTTTTCATTTGACCCATTTTTTACTTTAAAAATTTCATCAACGACATAAAAAATATTTGAAAATCACTTTGAAATGTGTTTTGAATTTGAATTTAATGAAAACCGTCAAAAACTAAAAACTGTGAAATGTCGGCAAAAGGCTAAAGTTTTTTGAAAAATTTTTCACCATTGTTTATAATGGCCATATTGAAGCGAATGTTAAATATCGGCAAAAATTCAATAATACAGTAATTGGTATGCGATCAGTGTCACCAGGATTTTTGAAGGACAATTTACTCCTGCCGGTCATAGAATCTCAGCATTGGCTCTAAGCTATCTATTCTCTTTCGCCACTGTTTAGCGACACTGTCATGCGGCAAAGCACAGTGCGAATTTGAAAATCCAAATCTTTCATTTAATTTTTTTCTTAATTATTTTAAATTTCATAATTGTGAAAATAAACCAATTTGTAATTGTTATAGGCAGTTTCTGCATAGATTCACAATTATTATATTTTCTTCTATATTGTATTATTTGATATATTATTTCATTTTATAAACAAAATA